ATATTTAGAGAAAATTATGATATAATTTCATACTACCTTTGTCCATTAAAATTTTGCCAACTTTGATCGGCACGAATAATAATAAAGTAAAAGTTGTGTGGTTGAGGTTTAAGTTGTGCAGAGAAGTGAGAAATAACAGAATCCACAAAATACTCCCTCCGTCCTGCTATGATTGTCTCATTTTACCATTTCGGTACGTCTCCCTAAGATTGTCACATACCTTATTTGGTAAAGTTTGTGCGGTTCTAAATCATTCCTACTTTATTCTTACTTTATCAATTCAATATCAACCACATAAACCCACTTTTATTAATAATCGTGTCACTTTCTCTTGTCTCAAACTTAGCGGGACGGAGATAGTAATTGATTAAAAGGAAAAGTGACAAATTTTTTTGGAACGTCCCAAAAAAGAAAGATGACAATGTTTTAAGGGACGGAGGAAGTATAGTTTTTGTTACATTCGCTTTTAATAGTGTAATTTTTTTCAATGACATATTTGGTTGGGTAATTAATAAATTTGTCCACACTATAGACCTTTTTATCGGAAGTCGAACAAAATAAAAAAAATCATGACCAAAAGTGACCTCACTCTAGGTAGTCTGTGTTATGCCTTTGAATTTGTAAAGTAAGTTAATTTACTCAATTGAAAATGATCAAAGCATGCTAAATTTGTCAAAAATTGAAACAATTCAACCTAAATGAACCAAACCGACTCAAAAGTGAAATTTACTAGTCGATTTTACCCTTAAAAATTGAATGCAATAAAATTCTCAATTTGCACTCTAGACACTCTTTGTTATAATTGGCAATGAGATCATTATAGGTATTATAATAACTTGAAATTAATATTTAACCAAATATGAACATGTTTACGTGTAAAATACTGGTAAAGACATGATAGTTTAGGACGGGTTTCAAACCCAAACTGGTTAATGCTAAATAATTAGGGCAACTCATGGCCCTATCTTCGGTTCCAATCTCCTAATTGATCTAGGTTCGCTCCCGATAATTTAAATATTTTTTAATTACCTATTTTTCAAATTTTAAATGGACTATAACCCATTTTAAAACGTTCTTAATGGTTTTAATGAAAATATGAACGGGATCAAAACATGGGCTCCATTTCCGGTGCCAAAAAGTGAGGTATGATGCCTCTTTTTAACTGGTCTGGTTCGGTCCCATGAATTGTTTTAAGCTCATACCTTTCAATTGTGTCTGCTACTCAAGGGCGAAACTAGTAAGGGGTTTGGGGGTTGAGCCCCTGCAGTTTGTTTATTTATTTATTTATTTATTTATTTATTTATTTATTTATTTATTTATTTATTTATTTATTTATTTATTTATTTATTTATTTATTTATTTATTTATTTATTTATTTATTTATTTATTTATTTATTTATTTATTTATTTATTTATTTATTTATTTATTTATTTATTTATTTATTTATTTATTTATTTATTTATTTATATTAAATAAAAATTGTAAATATTCATAAAATGTGTATGATATATTATAGAGTAATAACGATTATGATATTGCATGCGTGTGATGGGTTTGTAACTTTTATATTTTGCTTTACATTAATGACTTTTTGTGTTAGAAAGGACCCAAATTCAATTCTGAACAAAAAAAAAATTACGGGAATGGGGGACTATTCCAAGCGGCCATTTTTTATTGAGAAGCTAATGACATTTGCGTCCTTCATGGGTTCAGCATCATCATCACTAATCCTTATGGTGGTTTACCATCACAACTTTGCTGGCAGCTTTCTCTTCAAATTGCCACATCTTATTTAATTTCTTGCCTTTTAGTTTAATTAGAAATCTCATTTCATCTTGTATGTAATAAATTGTGATTTCCCAGTTTAGTACTTTTCAATATATTGTTTTCTAAAATAAAACATATATGTAGTATATTCTAGATGGCGGACGCCACATCTTTCGAATGACCCAGAGTACGCAGTGTCGTAACGACACTTCCTCTTGTCGTGACCTGCCTTGCCAGAGATTGGATTCCAGGGTCACAACAAACCCCTCCAAGGTCATCGAGCTGGTTCCGTCACTGCTGCTGTTAGTCCTATAATTTTACTCACGGGTAGATGTAGTTATGTACCTACTAAATTTCTCAATTATAATGGATATTTCATTATAAAGTACAAGTTCATGCAAAAAAATACTTTCCGGTAGAAAAATTCTTAAAACATGTAAATTTATTAAGGGAAAACTGTCAAATAGGTCCTCCAACTTTCATAAAAAAGTCAATTAAGTCCTTCTATAGGAGGTTCTGTCTGGCCGTCGCGATTTGGGGCAGTTCCCGGTGGAATTTTTTGATGAAATTTTTTGAGCATCTTATTCACCAAGTCTAGTTTACTAATACCAAATTTCAGCTAAAAATTCAATTGGGAACGCATTCAAATTAATTCTTGAAGATAACTACGCATTTTTGCGTTCTCGAATTAATTTGAATGCGCTCCCGATTAAATTTTTAGCTGAAATTTGGTATGAGTAAACTAGACTTGGTGAATAAGATGCTCAAAAAATTTACTCTGTTTACAAGTGAGTAAATTTAATCTGCAAGTGAGTAAATTTATAAGACTAAATTTTTACTTTTACTAAACGTAATTAAGAATTATTAAACTTTCATTAAAGTTTACGTAATACAAATGGAGTATGATTATAGGAGTAATAGGGGGTGTTTGGACTTCTGCTTCTTTTTTATAGAAGAAGCGGAATCAGAATCAGAATCGATTCTTAGAGTAAATTAGAGCACCAGAAGTACTTCTAGAATTTCACTCAAACACTTCAACTTCTACTTCTACATCCTGAAAGAGCAGAATCAGTTTTGAGTAGGGGTGAGATCGGTCCGGTCTGGGTCGGGTTTTTGCAAAACCCGGAAATTACCCGGAAGGTCTCCGGTTATGAAAATTAGGGACCGGAACAAAGCCCGTTATATTCGGTCCGAGTCGGGCTTTTAGTAGCTCGGGTTCGGTTCGGGTTCGGGTTGGGCCGGTTAAAGCCCGAACGTGAACTATCTCATTGTTCTTTTATATTTTAACAAGTATTTTTAAATAAAATTAATAAAAAATACAAACCGCAAATAATAACACAAATATTAGTCTTCAAAATCACCAACAATTCAAATCCAAAAAGATACTTATCTTAATATTTTATTTAAGATGCATATAAATAAATAATATAGGTCTCTTAAAAAAATTACGAAAAAAAATTTATTGATAAAAATGTGACTAGAGTTGCTGTAAATATATTTTCAAAGTCATTATGCTAAACAAATTGAACATCTTTGTAGTCACTAAAAGTTACTAAATGGTTGTTTTATCCACCGTGATTATAATCATATATTAAGAAATACTTATAAATTTATATTCATGTATTATATTAATTTTATATTAAAGCCAATTGTTTCGGGTTTTTATCGGTCCGGGTCGGGTTATAGATTTTAAGGTCCGTTAATGAGCCCGGAATTTCGGGCCGATTATAAAGAAAAAACCCGGACCGCGATCATAATTCGAGTCGATCCAGGGTCGATTTCCGGATTTCAGTTCGGTTTTTCCCACCCCTAGGACATGTTTACTTCACCGGTTATTAAACGGTGCTTATTAAGACCCGTGTTAATAAGCGGCGCATAAAATAAACAATGTTTTAAGACCGTGTTTACTTCAAACGGTTTAAAACACCGCTTAACATTAAAATGTCCAAAATAACCTTATACATATATACACACACAAACATTCATGAACACAAGTATATAATATAATATAATATAATATGTGTACCCACACCCTAACTCCTTACCCACCCTACCTTATCCCGACCCCACCTACCCCCTACCCCACCCTACCTACCCTACCACTACCCGACCCCATCCTACACTACCGCGGCCCTACCCCCGACCCCATATGCCCCTACCACATCAACCCCACCCTGACCCCACCTTACCCCAACCCCGCCCCTACCCCTACCCTACCCTACCTTACCCGACCCCACCCTACCCCTACTCTACCTACCCGACCCCACCCTGCTGCAACCCTACCCCCGACCCCACTACACCTACCCTGCCCCTAGCGCCTCTATCACATCGGCCCCACCCTGACCCCACCACCCTAGGTATAGGGTGGGGTAAGGGATGGGGTCGGGGTATAGGGTGGGGTGGGGTAGGTGGGGTAAGGGTACGGGTAGTGGTGGGTCGGGTAGGTAGGGTAGGGGTGGGGTCGGGTAGGTAGGGTAGGGGTGGGGTTGGGTAGGGGTAGTGGTAGGGTGGGGTTGGGTAGGTAGGGTAGTGGTAGGGTGGGGGTTAAGGCGGGGTAAGGGTCGGGTCAGGTAGGGTAGGGGTCGGGTGGGGTCGGGTAGGTGGGTAAAGGGTGGGGTAGGTAGGGTAGGGGTAGTGTGTGGTCGGGTAGGTAGGGTAGGGGTGGGGTCGGGTAGGTAGGGCAGTGGTATGGTGGGGTCGGGTAGGGGTAGGATGTGGTAGGGTTGGGTTGGGTCAGGGTAGGGTAGGGGTGGGGTCGGGTAGGTAGGGTAAGGGAGGGTAGGGTAGGGGTAAGTTGGGGTCGGGTAGGTGGGGTACGTGTAGGGTGGGGTCGGATAGGTAGGGTAGGGGTGGGGTAGGTGGTAGGGTGGGGTCTGGGTGTGGGTAGGGTAGGGTAGGGGTAGGGTAGTTGGGGTAAGGGTAGGGTGGGGTTGGGGTTGGGGTCGAGGTGGGGGCCGGGTAGGTAGGTGGTGCATGGGTAACAATAGGGTAAGGGCAAGGGGTAAATTCGGAAACTGAAAAAGCTTAAAGTGCCGCTTAATTAATACATGGGGGGTGGTATGCTTAATAAGTGGCACTTTAAGCACCTCTTTCGGTTAGTAAGCGGCTTTTTAAGCAGCGTGCGTGTTTACTTCACCTGTCTTACTAACCTAACTGTGACTTTAGCAGTGAAGTAAACATGTCCCTAGTTTTAAGAATCCTATCCAAAACACCCACATATTTTTTGCGATATGTTTTTTAGACGGCGTTCAGTTTAATCGGTTCATAGGATTTTGGCGGCTTCCTAATCATCCGACAAATCTCCTTTCTCCGACACTCTGCTAGCGAAGTGTTCCGATTCACTCATTCGCCGTTTCCGATTCACTCCTTTCTCCGACACAGAGAAAGGGAGAGACCGATAGAGAAACACGAACCAAAAAAATCAAATCTTTATCTTTGTACTGGCGGCTAACTCCTCTTGTAATTGCGGGTACGTATCAACCAGTCAAAGATAGATACAGAGGAATCGAACTTGAGGAGGAAGAATGCATGCGAAGACGAAGGTGTCAAGACCTCGTCTTGACCGGCTAAACGCGATAAAGGGTAGCGACTGCGAGGCTTCTGACTCCACGACTTCTTCGCCGTCTTATTCCTTCAACAGCCAGTCAACTCCCAGGACCCGGTCGGTTGACTATTTCTCGTCACCGGACTTGACGAGCTTCCGGGTCGGAGGAGCCGACGGCGAATTCGATCAAATTTGCCGCTCTCTTGGGATTTCCCCTGAAGATTTTGCTATACCCGATGCTACTTGGGGGGCTTGCAGCGCTTCCTCAACTCCAACGAGTGTAAGGAGCTCTAGACTTACCCGTAGTTGGAGAGTTATTGATGCAAATCCTTATGAATTTGATAGATTTCTAGATGTACATCAGCATGAAGCTAGGGCTGAATTGGGTGATGTAATTCATGTAATTGAAAGAAATGATGGCAGCTTGTTTCCTAGTTCGCCTAGATTAGCTGCGAAAGAGTGTGTTGCCGATGGTTTGAGCCAGCCTGGTGATTTTGGTAGGAGTTTAAGTCATCCCAGTAATGAGGAATCTAGTTATCCCTTCGAGAACATAAATGGTTCAGAAGAGCAAAGAATTGGGGATGTTGGGAATGCAATTGATAATGAAGAAAGAAGTAATGCGAATTTGAGAGATATGTCTGTTGTTCTATCAGAGTCTTATTCAGATTCATACAATGAAGATGATGATGATGGTGATTCATGCATTGCGGGAGCAGAGTTTCTGCACACCCTTTCAGGTGATGGTTTTTTCATGCGCAGCATTAAGAATTGGCAAAAGGGCGATTTTCTTGGTAGTGGTTCATTTGGAACTGTCTATGAAGGCTACACTGAGTAAGTGCTGTATTTTGCATTGCATGTCAATGTTACTTATGATGTTATATGCTATAATATACTATCAACAAATCCACCCCATTAAAGAAAGTTTTATTGCAATAGTGCATTATTATCCCTTTTCAATACGTAGTATATTTGAAAATGAAGTAATTTAGTTCTGTAGTTCCAAAACCTAACAGAGGGACTAGTTAACGAAACCAAATTATCATTGATGCAATGATGCCTAGTTGTCAATGGTTGGGAGGGGGGGGGGGGGGGGGGGCTGTGTCTAGTTTTCAAAAGTGGAAGGGCCGTGACTATCATTGCATTGCATTGACAGTTGCTATCATATCATAATAGAACTAATGGAAGGCTAACTATGCCCATTTTTAAAAACTATCATGACCACTATTGTCAAGTTCTTATGTGGATTAAGAAAAGGGGGGGTCATTCTACAATATTCGTGACCAAAATTTCTTGAAGAAAAGTATTTCACAAGAGGAGGCCCTAAAATCCTTCTTAAAACTTCTTGTTTTCAGCGATGGCCTCTTCTTTGCTGTAAAGGAAGTTTCTTTACTTGCTACAGGAAACCATGGCCAGCAAAGCATTTATCAACTTGAACAGGTAGGAACGTTGTGTAATGTCTAGATAGTATATTCACAAGTCTGGGTATGTAAATAACCTATAGAATTTCAAATAACAATCACACGAGATATTTTGATTGGATTATATGTTTTGTTTGCTTACACCTTGTTGTGGCTTGTGCCAGGAAATTTCACTTTTAAGTCAGTTTCAACATGAAAACATAGTTCGGTATCTTGGAACGGATAAGGTATATCATTATCTTTTGGCACTCTTTCTCGTATTTTGAATGAATTGCTTCATGGCTTGTGTGTTGTGGCTCTTACTGACTTAATCCCAATTAAATAAAAATGAAAAAAATATACTCAGCAATAAAGTCAGTGGCCCTTCTCATGGATAAAATCATAAAATCAAACACTAATGTCCTATTTGAATTTCTCTCCCCTTATTTATTACTATCTGAAGCAAAACCATTGACTTCCTAAAAATGAAATTTTAAACAATCTTCATGCTCTATTCATGAACTCAGCCTTATGAATGCATAGATGGTCACATGGATAGTACATTAGTACTACGTAGTATTTTTTGGAGACCCCTTTAACACTTCTTCAAATGATTTTAAATAATTTTTGCAGGGCAATAGCAAACTTTATATCTTCCTTGAACTTGTAACTAAAGGTTCGCTCGCGAGTCTTTACCACAAGTATCAACTGCGCAATACTCAGGTTTCTGTGTACACAAGGCAAATTTTAAGCGGATTACATTATCTTCATTCCCGCAACGTGATCCATAGGTATAGAAGCAATTTCATTCATATGCTCAGGTTAACACTTAGGAGAATGAATTTGTTGTGCATTGTTCATCTTGAATAAGGAGACTTTTATATAAACGTTTAACATTTTATTTTAGGGAAAAATAATTAAAATACCCCAAACTTTGAAGGGGTGTGAGATGAACACCCCAAACTTGCATATGTAATTTAAATACCCCAAATTTTATATAAAAAGTTATTTTAGCACCATAGACAAGTATTATTTCTTTTAAAATGTAAATTTATGGTGTTAATTGCATAATTTAAAATATTTTAGAATTCATGAAGACACAATTAACCTTCTAAACTTCCATTGCGAAACAAATAACGTTACCCAATCTATATAATCACAACACTTTCAATTTGCTATTTTAAATAGTGCAATTAACCCCATAAATTTACATTTTCGAAAGAAATAATACATGACTGGTGCGAAAATAACTTTTTATATAAAGTTTGGGGTATTTAAATTAGGCTAAAGGATCAAATAGGCCCTTGAACTAGCTTAAAGTGTTCAATTAGCCCCTTATATAGGAGGTTCTGCCCGGCCGTCGCCAATTAGGGCGGTTCCCGGTGGAATGTTTTGATGAAAATTTTTGAGCATCTTCTTCATTAAGTCTAGTTTACTCATACCAAATTTCAGCTAACAATTCAACCGGAAAAGCAGTCAAATGATTTTTTGAAGATAACTGCGTAGTTAAACAACACAATACATTTTGGAAAATCATTTGACTACCTTCCCGGTTGAATTTTTAAGTGAAATTTGGTATGGATAAACTAGACTTAATGAAGATAATGCTAAAAAAATTTCATCAAAAAATTTCACCAGGAACCGCCCCAATTGGTGTCGGCCGGAAAGAACCTCCTATATAAGGGGCTAATTGAACACTTTAAGTTAGTTCAAGGGGCTTTTGACCCTTTAGCCTTTAAATTACATACGCAAGTTTGGGATGTTTACCTCACACCCCTTCAAAGTTTGGGGTATTTTTATTATTTTTCCCTTTATTTTAATTATTTATTTATTTATTTTTTGAAATGTATTTGTTCTCTTTTCTATATTTGAAGGGATATCAAATGTGCTAATATACTGGTGGACGTAAATGGTTCCGTGAAGCTTGCAGACTTTGGGTTAGCAAAGGTTGGTTTATTCTGTCACTTGTACTTTGTTTCAGTTTGCTTCACATTTTCATATGTAATGTTTTGATGTTGTGACTCTTCTCAGGCAACAAAACTGAATGACATAAAATCGTGCAAAGGAACTGCATTTTGGATGGCCCCTGAGGTTTGCTTTTCCTTTGAGAATCTACTTGTGCATTAAAAGCGCTCACATGCTAATTATTGTATCTTCACAGGTGCATGTGTAATTATTGGATGATAAACGATGCACATGTTGTTTTTAGTCATTTGACACAAGCTAATTTGTTGATTTCCTCTACTACCCAAATTTCATATAATGTTGTCTACGTACCACAGTTAACAATCCATGTGGTCAATCTATTTGCTTAGTTTCTACAACACATGTGTATCATATTAGGATTTTGGTTTTAGGTCTAATAGAGCTTTTAGTGTGATTGCTAAATATTCGGTTTTAATTGCATATAGTCATATACTAAATTAATTATTGTTTTTTGACGCGATTTTCACTTTGGATCATCCGGAAACAGCCTACCCCTGCTTTAGTGCAGGGGTAAGAGTGCGTAGATCTGACCCCCCTTACCCATCCGTTGGTGGGAGCCTTTGCGGGAATGGGGTAATGATGTTGACGACTAAATTAATTATGGTTTGAAGTTGAATTGTTAAAAATTAAGTTAAACTTCGGTGTTCAAAATGTCCCCTGTAATTTAGGGCCTGAGGGGAGTAGGGGACCTTCTTTTGAGGAATATGATTACTTTGCAAATCAACAACAATTTATCCAGAGAATCGGCATTCCTTGTAAAGAGAAGTTCAGTTTTGAGAATTTAGATAGGAGTGTATGTGTGGTCATTGTGAATCACTATCAATCTTCTCCTACAGTAGGAGTCCTACTTCTATAGTGAATTTGAGAAGATATAGAGATTCCAGTGAAATCAAAAGTTATCTGTTTATACACTGTGTGTGGCTGCAAGCTAGAGCATATTTCTTGCGCACGAATTTTATATGAGGCTTTCCTTATATATTACTGAAATGAACTTATGGACAAAAATGTTACTAAAGTTACTATGAGTATACCATCACGATCACTACAGTATAAAACTGAACATAATGATTATTAGAGTTATTGTCATAGCCGCAACAGTATTGAAGGTCACATCACACTGCCTTCATTTAGTCATATATGTGTGACTATTTCATTTCATATTAGAATCCATTCTCAGGTTGTTAATCGGAAAAACAATGGATATGGGCTTGCTGCTGATATATGGAGCCTGGGATGTACAGTTTTAGAGATGTTGACTGGTCAAGTTCCGTACTCTAACTTAGAAGGGGTATGTATGATATTTTCATTTGGCTTCAGCTCATGTATTCATGATGTTTGTGATTATGACTTACCATAAAAGGGTATTACAATGAAGTGTTTTTGCATTTATTCTTGTCCGATTTTTCCAACTCCAGATCCCCTCCCCCTTGTTCCCGTATAATATTTGACTCATCAAAAGGCATATTTTTGCTTGAAACAATTACTTTCTCAAGTCATTTTTTACTTAGAAGATGCTACCTGAGGAACTATTGAGCTGATTACATATATTTTTTGTAATTTCCATGGCAACAAATTTAATTGGTTGTGTCATATGTGAAGATGCAAGCACTATTTCGAATTGGTAAGGGTGAACGCCCACGTATACCTGATTCATTGTCAAGAGATGCTCAGGATTTCATTGTTAAATGCTTACAAGTTAACCCAACTGATCGACCCACCGCTGGTGAACTATTGGAGCATCCATTTGTGAGGATGGCAGCTTTGACCTTCCCACCAAATCCTGTGCCTTCCAGGTCTTGAAGTAATACATTTATGGAAACTTCCATTCGTTTGTGATGTTGAGGCAAAAAAATAGTTACTAACATTTTAATCTTGTTCCAAAGGTTGAATCCTCAACCCCAAGGGCCCTCCACACCCCGACCTGAAAGACATTTGGGAGGACGTAAGTCACGGTGACTCAATCAGCCAAATGGTGGGGGACCTTGTTCCCATGCGCACCAGAGGTCCACACGAGCACATAGGACCTGTAAGCCTGTTACCTCCACACGGCCGTTGCGGGTTTCGATCCTTGGTCAATGTTCCAACTTTCTCATCACTCAACTAATTGAGCTACCCGTGCGGAAAGATACCCCCACCTTTAGGGGGGATAGGAGAGAAATGCATTTCTTCTCAATTTGTATATTTTACAAATTTCCCTCTATCTCTTTCATACAATCATACCCATTTTTCTCTTTTCTACTTAAACAAAACAAAGGCTAAAGGTTCACCATTGTGCATATATGTGACAGACTGACAGTGTACATTATATTGTTCATGTTCATGAGTTTATCTCAACCAGATTTTACTAAATGTAGGCAACATTTCAGCTTGCAGATTTTACCTTTCAAATCTTGCGGTCTAAAGGATTATTTATTTACTGCCTCTTTCTTTGAGCGAGTGTTTGAGGTTATTTAATGAATCAACCAGAGCAATTTTTTTGTGGATGAAAGAGGATGTAGACATGTATTGTAAATGCCTTTTCAGGAGTGAACGTTTGGAATAGGATTTCATAAACATGTAAAGAACAAGTCTTTGATAAGATGTGCAGCCACGGTACATCTTGTTTGCTTTGATTCGTTGTCTCATTGTTGTCGAGATTTGCGAGAAACCTATGACCATAACAGGCCATATATCGCATTATCACCTGGCTCTGGTCTCCAAATCAATTTTCTTTAAGTAAGTCGGGTCTCGAATCCCAACATCCATGAATTTTTGCTTGTTTGTTAAGGATGCTTTGTAGTTCACAAATTAACAGTAGATTAATAGCTTAGAATGTTTTGCAGTATACAAGTCAACAAAATCATTCCCACTACTGGAATGATGTCCTGCACAACAAGTCAACAATAACAAAAACTTAGAGAAGGGACTTTAGCAAAAGAGAACACCACTGGTTCACTAACATTCATTAGGTTCTAGAAAGGGAAATTAATCTAACACCACCAATTTCTATACAAAATCAAATTGAATAAATTTATATTCCAAGGAAATTGGTTGTCGCAGTGCATTACGAAATAGGCTGAAGACCTGAAGTATGGGACTATATATAAAATATTATTTTGTAATATTTGTGTTCTGTGTGAATAGGTTGCTTACAAGTTACAAGTAATAAAAGTTTTATTGACTGCTTGTGAATTGTGATAGTTTTTTTTTGCATACAGAAGGTTTTCAAAGTAAAAAATGTAAAAGAACCTATTGGTTGTGGTCCTGCATTTACTAATTTTGCACACACCCAACGTGTTTGTGTTGTAACTTGTAAACTACCATTATGCCACGGCTAAGACTTTTAGACTCTATAATGCAGTTTGTAATTTACATACCAGATTGTGGAGGCCAGAGACAAAAAGCATATGGTAACCTCCTCTACAATATATTCAAGTTTAGTTATGGGTTCAGCTTGTTTGGTTGCAAATTACATGAACTATGTTTATGAAAGATGGTATAAAAATTTCCAGTGACTCAATTTGGGAGATCCTCTCTCTACATTGGATGATCTAGGAGATATATCCTATTTATAAGTAATTTTAAGATGTTCACCAAGTTTAACCTTAATCCACACAAACTTATACCACATTTACCTAGGTGAGCCTAAAAGTTATCCAAATAACATTTTCATATATACACACGGATACGCCCAGTTTCACGCAAATTTACCCAATTTTTATTGAATCTAGGATTAACCAAGCCGCACCCTACAAATAAAGTTGAAATCGACCATTCTATTGAAAAAATTGACAACCTAGTGGCTTTGTGATTCAGCTGAATAAAAAAGGGAAAATGCTTTAGGTACACGTTTGGTGTACACATGTCTGTCCTTCACAGACAAATTGTCTGTCACAGACAACTAGGTTGTGACAGACAATTTGTCTGTGAAGGACAGACATGTGTACACCAAACGTGTACCTCTAGCAAGACCCTAAAAAAAGTGCTGAGCAGGCAAGAAAAGACACAAGTGTTGCATTAAAACTGCTGAAACTATTACCTTATAGAAGTGTTACATAAATGGCAAAATAAAAAATACAACACACAAATTCTGCATAAGGATGAGGCAAATATATCTACTCATTAGATTGTACTAAAGAAACTCCTTTGTGAAGGTTGGCTATGGTGGAAGCAGTTTCAAGGAGACCGTTTCTCATAACTGCAGCTTTCGAGGCCACATACTCTTTATATTTTGATAACGAATCAAGAGTAGCAAATAACTGGCGAGCACAATCCTGCACCTCTTTCTCGCTTTGTATCGTTACTTCCTGCAATTTGGCATTTAATGCCTTTAAAACAACACACGTATTGTTATTATAGAGTTCATAATGTTAAAAAAAATGACACACGTGTGTGTACATAATATAGACTCAACAAATTAATGGGAAGGGGAAACATACATTGAGAAAAGCTGATGCCTCTTTCTCGACAAGCTCAATACGTTGACCCTCTGCTTCAATATTCTCTGCCATCTTTTTTGCTTCAGATGCACATCTAGATGTGATCTCTAATGTTTCCCTCTGTATTCTCTCAGGCTGTCCTTCAACCTAATTTATCAAATACAAACATTTATAGGACTGCGTCACAAATCAGACCGAAGCAGAAACAAGGGATTATACTACCATAGGTATTTCCAATTTACTGTACCCTTTAACCAAATGAAGTGCCTATTTGGCAGCCAAAAGTGGCTAGTTCTGCTTGACTTTTGCCTTAAATTATTTAACTGAAACAGATTTTACTAAAAAAAAACATTGTCTTGAAGAAAGTTCAGAAGTTTTAGGCATATCAGCTGAATAACTCTCACTAAATGGGATATAAGCCAATTTAAAAAACTCGCTCAACCAATGGCTTCTTCTGTAGAATGAAGTAATTGACATTTATTCAATTTATCAGGTTAGGTGAAGTCAGCTGAATATGGAAGATTTTGTGGAACTGTGAACCTTTTTAGCAGTAGGTCATTCCGGTCAGCCTTTCCAAAATTTTCCTAGGCCGGGGGCCGTGACAGAAACAACTTCTCTACGCTCAAGGTAGAGATAAGTCAGATAACATCTGCATACATCACAGACACTCTAGATTCTGCTTCCGCGTGGGGTATATTGGGCACGCTTGGTTTGGTTAGATCCTATCAGTTCCTCATTTATAGGAGAAGATGCTTCTTGTGGGGGTTGGAATAATGTGGGATTTTACAGTTTTACACACACACTGTCCTCTGAGACTGTAAATACATTGAAGAATCCTTTTTTCTGTCTCTAAAACTACAAAAGGACAGTTGCTATTGGTGTCAAATGCAGGAAATCTAGATCTTCTGACAGACGTGCATATATCAATTGAAATTGTCATAGTTTTATTAAAAATATACAACATTAGACAAGGAAAATAGTGTTTTAGTTTTTTGTTAAATGTCTCTGGCATCATTTGTTAAATGCACATTAATCAAGTGTAACTAAAGGCTATAATCCACTGCTCAAAAGTTAACTGCGGCATTTAGGTAATTAGGTAGGTAGGATATACTTCATAAAATATCTCAACATCTCATTTATCTACTAAATGAGATTTGGTAAGCTGACATATATGATCACCATGAATATGATATGAATTCTTCTGAATTAGAGCACCACTTTATCTTGATGCATATATAAGTTCCACCACTCAAAAATGTAGTTGCCTCAAGGCTCAAGCTTACCTCATCAATGTGAGCTTGAAGAGAGGTAAGGTGGTTCTTTTTCGATTCAATTTTAGTAGTTCTGTCCACAGATAGTTGCTGAAGAGAGATCAATGCTTCTAACTTCTCCATGGAACTTTTCTTAATTTCCTCCTCCAAGAAAGCAAGTGCAGGCTTTAGAATAGATTTGTAGTCTACACCTAAGACCTCCTCTAGTGAGGATCCTTTGGCCTCCAACTGATAATGCAATTCCTTTCCTAGTTTTAACCTGTAAAATTTCAAAGCAGGGATAATATTATGTGTGTGTACAATGGATTTATTTCGAGATGTTTGATTGATAACAATATGCAGATAACCACCCCCTATGATTGATTGCCGAATTTTGGGATGCACAGTTGTGCAATTGCATCTTGATTTCTTATATTGTACTATAATAAGTATAATAATAATATATATGCAAAATTACCAGGATTATGACCAAAAAAGGTGTTGATGCCTAAGGATATTTTTACTTGGAATGTTTTCAGTCCCAGACCAAGCCAGACTTGGATAGATATAAAATTTACATAGACCATACATGTATCAGATCAGACCATCATCATCATCATTACCCCAGTGCCGCAAAGACTCCCACCAACGGTGGGGTAAAGAGGGGTCGGATGTACGGAGCCTTACCCCTGTACTAAAGCACAAATCAGACCATACCAAGAAATTTTAGTCCAATTAAAGACATCCTAAAATATGCCTAAAAAGCTTTTCTATCCCAAGTTAATGGTGCTTTGTATGTATGGTAACTACTTTGGCCTTTGATTTTTTCTTGCCACATGGTTACTACACTAGTATGGAGGCATGTTTAATTTTCCAAGTCACATATCAGGACATATGACATACTTTGCCCTAATACATAACTTGATAAGCACATGCATGGACAAGTGAAAAACAAATATTAAAGATTCATTATAAGTATCAAAATAGAACTATATTGAACTATAAGATATACAGAGTATGTATATGAAACTCATTTCCTAGATTAAACCTTTAAAATTTTCTTGAGGCTTTTGATGGATATTGGATAATAATATGTAGATACCTTCGCATAGCTTGGTTGCACTCAATCATAAGCTGCTCAAGTTTCTCCAAATTATGTTCCATCATAGAGTCCAATTCCCAACCCTTCTCCTCCCATTTATTCCTTGCATCCTCAATTTCTGCAATGATTCCTTCCAAGGCCTGCAATTCTCGCTTCATCCTTTCAGCATCCCTGGCATTAATTCCCTGCTCTTCAACACTCCTCTTCAACTCCTCATTCTCCACACAAATCCTGTCCTTCTCAGCTATCTTAACCTCCAAGGCTTTTTCCTTCTTCTCCAACAATCCCCTCATTTCTGCTTTATACCCTTCTAACTTCTCAATCATATCATGAAACTTCTTCACGTCTAACTCCAACACAGTTTTCTCAGCCTCCAACGCCTGCCTCTCGCTAGGCCGAGCCTTCATACCCTCCAGCTCTTCCTCCAACTTCTGGCCCATCCTTTCCAATGTATTTGCTTCGTCTACAATTCTCTGCTTTTCTCCCATCATTTCCTGTTTGATTCTAGCGTCCAAAATTTTCACTTCATCATCCTCTCCCCTAATGAAATGCATATAAGTCTGGACAAAATACCGAAACATCCGATTTTCCAGGACTATAAGCTGATT